GAGAAAGATTTATTCAGAGCTTTTTGGGGAGACAAATCCTGTACTCTTTTGAGAAGATTTCGAACCCCCTTTATTTCTTACTCTTTCTCTTAATGCAATTTTATTCAGTTATGTTTTGTGATCTCATAATCATGTCTGAGTAATCTGCTAGTTAAGTTAGAGTTTTTCAAAGGTTGATGAAAAGAGTGTAGAATCGCTATCTGTTAGGACTATCTCATGGTTTTTCATCTCTGCTTGCTTTAAAATCGAATTTCTGAGACACATCATCTAGGAATCCGAAAATCATAGGTTGTTAAATATATGTGAGAGCATTATTCATAACCTGAACTAGTATTTGATGAGCAAAGCAACTTAGTGCAAAGAGATTTGGCTTAGGAGTTTTGTAAACAATTGAATCTGATCAATCCTGCATGTTTAGGTTGTTAGGGTTTGCAAAGAGATTTGAAACTCTGTGATTTAGGCATAGATAACTTTTGCAATGAGAATTGATTAGTTATACATCAGTGATTCATGTTTAAAACGGTTCTTAATCATTCCTGATTTCCTGCATCATACATTCTTGGATTCAACCTGCGAACTACCCTGACTTAGCACTTTTAGTCTTCCTGAACTTAGATCATCTCACGCAATCGTTTGCTTACTTTCATTCATTCATTCGCATTACATACATCATATTTTGCTTAGCTTAATCCGAATCTACATTCGATAGTGTAGTCTGCATTACTCTCTTGGGATTTCGATACCCCTTGTACTACAACTGCTTTTGCTGTGCACTTGCAGTAGTTTTATTTGGGTAAAACCTGACCCTATCAAGTTTTTGGCGCCGTTGCCGAGGAGTAATAGCTGCCTATCGATTTTTAGTATTAGGATTTTGTCTAAGTTTTTATTTGTTTACTGACTTTCAGCTACTTTTCTTTGTTCCTGTTTCAGGTGTATGCCTAATCGCAGTACCAGAAGCAACAAAGATAAGGAGCTTGTGACTTTGAGCATCGACGAGCTTGCTAGGTTAGAGAGAACTAACAGGAAAGCTAAGAAGCAATCTACAATGGTCGCTCTACTTATCTTGGTTGAAGATGCAGAAGGTCACTTGGTTGACAAGGAAGGAAACAGGAGGAACGAAGAGGGGCAGAGAATTGATCAAGAGGGGAATGTCATTGTTGAACAGCAGGTTCAGCAAGTGGCTGAGAACGTGGGAGTCCCTGCTGCTGTCAATAACGCTGCTGGGAGTTTTGTTCAGAGGACTCTAGGTGACTACAACAGACCTGATCAGTTCTATGCCAACAGAGCTGCAATCCAACCTCCTGCCTTCCAGAGGAACGATTTTGAGGTTAAACCAGTCTACTATCAGCTGGTTGGCCAGCATTCCTTCCATGGTTTACCTCATGAGCATCCTATGGATCACATAGAGAGATTTGAGGACTTGGCTTCCAGTGTCAAAGCTAATGGGGTTAGCAATGACTTTCTGTTCTGCAAGCTTTTTCCTTACTCTCTTGAAGGAGAAGCTGCATATTGGCTGAAGCAACTGGAACCTGCTTCATTGACTACTTGGGAAGACACCAAGAATGCCTTTTTGAACAACTTCTATGATGATGCAAGATCAGAGGACATGAGGACAAAAATTGCATCATTTACACAAAGCCCTACTGAAGCTTTCAAGGCCTCTTGGATCAGGTTCAAGTCTTATCAAAGGGACTGTCCTCATCATAGTTTCAGTCAGGTGCAATTACTTGGGATTTTCTTCAGAGGCATTGACTGGAAATATCAGATGGCGCTGGATGCAGCAAGTGCAGGAAACTTCAACACCAACAGACCAGAAGAGGCGATCAGACTGATTGAGAACTTGGTCTGCAGCAACAGCACTAAAAATGCAGACTTTCAGAGAATGAAACAAGCTGGTGTGGTTGATGGAAATCAAATTGCTGAAGTTAAGGCTAAGTTAGATGATATGCACAACCTTTTTGTGGGGAAGAAGTCAGTTCACTTTGCTGCAGAAGTGGAAACTTTCGAAGCTCCAGAGGAAGTTGAGCAGGAGGATGTAACTTTCATCAATTCTGGTGGTTTTCAGGGACAAAGGTATGGGAATCAGCAGTGGAACAGAGGATACAGCAACAATAATCAGAAGAACGCCCTTATAGGAGGACAGAGCACGCCTGGTTTCACTCCTAGACCCCCATTCCAGAAGACAGAGTATCAGAAGCCATTCCAGAACAGTGGAAATTACAGAAACTATGGTTCTTCTTCCTATCAACCAGCACCTCCACAAGGGAATAAAATAGAAGCAATGTTCGAACAGATCTTGGAAGGACAACAGAAGCTTACAGTGGAATTTAATGGCAAGATAGATTCGCTCTATCAGGATTTGAATGGAAAAATTGAGAGTCTGAACTCTCATATGAAGAAGCTTGATGTTCAAGTTGCCAAACAGCAGGAGCTGTTCAGAGGCAAGAAGGATTTCTTCCAGGAAGAACTGATGCTAATCCCAAACACCATGTGAATGCCATCACATTGAGGAGTGGAAAGAACCTGCAACCAGTGTTGCAGAAGGATTTAACCTCAAGGAATTTCGTGGGTATGGAAGAGTATGAAGATGAAGAAATATTTGTTGAAGAACCACGGGTGACGCTCGTCACCAATAATGGGTGTCGCTCGTCACCCATTGAGCACAACCCCGACCCCGACTCTTCACAAATTGGTGACGACCGACACCAGATGGGTGACGCTCGTCACCCATATCCAGTGATCAATCCCGACTCGTCCAAATTGGGTGACGCTCGCCACCATTCCAGCGACGCTCGTCACCAGACACCACATGCTGCAGTTTCGCCTAAGACTTCAGATAATGCTAAGGAGACCGTGTACAAACCCAAGATACCCTATCCTAAGCATCCTAAGAATCTAAGCAAGAGCTTGAAGATGCAAGATGCAAGGCTATCATGGACAAGTTGGTGATAGAGATCCCATTAATAGATGCTGTAAGGATCACTCCTGTTATAAGGAGGTATGTAAAGAGGATGGTGACCAATAACTTGAGTCTTGAGGTTGGAGCTATGATGATCAACGAGCAGGTCAGTGCAGTGATTCAGAACAGAGTTCTAGAGAAGCTTTCAGACCCAGGAAGTTTTGTTTTAGACTGCACTATCTTCAATGACAAGTTTGAGAAGTCATTGTGTGATCTTGGTTCTAGTGGACCTTATGCCTCTTTCTCTTCTGGGGAGAAATTAGCTCGGATAGCTGCGAGGTTGAAGAGTTGGATATGGGCTTTAGGGTCGCTGTTCCCAGCGTACTCTGAGACTTTTACTTTAGTAGTGTCTCAGAGGTACGTGTGCATGATCGAGTAGGTGAACGGAGTCCGTTGGGTCTCGCGGATTACTCGATCGATGTCGGGAGCTGAGCTTGTGGCTTGTGTAACATGGAGTTCATCTGTCGAATAGCATAGTTGGTTTGATTGTGGAATCTTTCAAAAGATTTACAGTCGACTAGGTTTCTTGGGCCGACGCCAAGGTGGTTAGCCCGAGTCGGATCATTTGGAATCTGGGTTCCGAGCTGTTGGTGAATGAACCCTATAGGTTGTTCGCGGATCCCGCTTGGAAGTCTCGAGCTCGAGGTCATGTTCGGTTGTTGGCTGAACTGGGATGGTTTTTGCAAGCTCGAGGCGAATGCCGGGGATCCAAGCCATCTCTGTCGAGGTGGCTCGGTTCCAGGAGGTCTTAAAGGTGGAGATGGATATCTCGTGTTGGGACGAGGTCCCATTTCGGGTATTCCTGGTGTCGGCACAGGTGGAGATGGATATCTCGTCGCGGGACGAGGTCCCATGGTATTCCTGGAGCCGGAATATCCGTGGCGATTGGTGTCTGGTTCACCGCAAGGGCGAAGTTCGGTGGACCTGGAACACGCAGAGGTATCACGTATGGTCCGAGTGGATTACTCGGAGCGGGAATCGACGAAAAGTCAAGCTGAGTCCGTGGAGGTGGACTCGCAGCGGCTTGACGCCGTTCCTGCCTTTCTAATCTGATCTCCTGATCTCGTTGTCGATCAATAAGATGTGTGAGCATTTGGAGTATCTCCACCGACTCCGACGTGCTGCTAGAAGCTGCGGGTATCGGCGGGAAAACAGGAGCTGTTCGGCTCTGTGATGCCGAAGCTGTAGGTGGATTCTCAGATCGCACCCTCTCAGCTGTTTGTGATTGGTTACTCGTCGTACCCGGTGGGGGTGACGAGGTTAATCACGATCGGTTCCACACGGCTGGGAAGTTAGAGTTTGTGCCGGTAGTGTCGACGAGGGTTGTAACCCTGGGTTCGTTTCCGCCGACTATTTGGCTGACGTTGCCGGTCGGAGTAACTTGATCTGGAGAGATCGGAATCGGTGAGACGTTTCCCGAGGTTTGTTGAGTTGAATCCATTTCGGTTTCAGCTGGCTTAGGATCTGCTCTTGAGTAAGAGAAATCTATAGATCTTCCCCACAGACGGTGCCAAAATGTGGATACCGAAATCCACGCTCAGAAATTTATGTGTATTTGTAAGAAAAGAACTTTAGAGGATTAAGGGCTAGATTCCCTCGAACAGATTGACTGTATAAGCTAGCACTAACTAAAATAAGGACTTTGTATTAATCGGTCGAATGAAACGGTTACATGGATTTCGATGAAGAAGATGAACTGAAAGGAGCTCAAGGAGCAGTTACAGTGTTTTCGAGTGTAAAAAGTGTGTAAAAAGATTAAGCCAAAGGTCCCCTGAACTAAGCCATTCTCCTCCTTTATATAGCTTGCCTCGTCGAGCTTCAAGCTCCAGCGCGTATCTCGGCCATGTGCAGCAGCCTCAGCAGGATATCTCACCACGTGCAGCAACTTCCTCTGCGATCTTCAGACTCGTTTGAACTGGCGAGAATATTCTCTGACTTTGCTTGGATTCTTCCTTGTTTCTCGAGATTTGGTCGAGCTGGAGCTCGACCTCGCCGATCGGAACGTCTTGTTGCTCAGGATTGGATCGTTGAAAGGTAAATGGGCCTGGACCGCAGGGTTAAAGCCCAGTCACTTTGGCTTAGTTTGGACCTGCATGTTGGGCTTGAGTGGGCCAGATTTGAGGTGTCAAATCCAGCTCCAACAATGTCTCGTGGTTTGATAAACTGAATCACACAATAGTGCATCTTGTGATGATTAACTTAATACTTCCACATGTTAAGTTAACAAATCAAAAATCAAATCAAAAATCAAGAATCAAGAAAAACCACCCTGAGACTTATAACAATATTACTCATCCAGTGGAGTGGAACCCAAAGAGTAGAGAGGAGCTTCATTGATGTGATCAAACAAAAGCTTTTTATATCTTAAGCAGTGCAAGATAACTGAGGAAGAAGACCGTTTCTCTCTTGGACAAGCTTGTGCAGGTCATGCACGATCTTGAACACATCGTCTGGTCTCGCTAGCCTCAACGCATTCTCCGACATTATCTCAAGCTCTCTTGATCCTGATCCAAACCCATTCTCCACAACATACGGTACATTCCCCGCCTCCTGCAAACCGAAATTGAGAATTTGAAAACCAATAAACCAAAAGTGTAAGCCTTTTGCTTTTAACTTTGCAAGAACTCAACTTGACCAGCGATGTAATCGTTTAAGATTATCGGTAGCCCTCGGATCATAGCTTCAGCTATACTTCCAGGACCAGCCTACACATCGAAGCAAACCCATACTAAGACCAGAGAGAGACAAAGTAACATAGTGAAGTCACCATTGTGAGAAAGTTTACCTTTGTTATGATGCAGTTACAAGCACCCATACATTCCTCCATTTTGGTTATAAACCCTTTAACCTGGGCTCGGATTTTCCAATCTAAAGAACTTAATCTGCTGACAAGTTTCTTGTTCCGCCCACAAATGACAAGAACCTGACATAGTGGTTTCCTGAGATTCTCATCATACAAAGCCTCGCCTAGTGCTCGTGTTGTGGCTTCGATAGGACCCATCCTTTCTCCTCCTCCCATCAACAATACGGATGGAAGAATCCATTCCTAGTTTTATTCTTAGTTCAACCTATGATTGTTGGAAATGTAAACCATATTCAAAGTCTGAAACATCAATAAGCCAAAGAAAGGAACATAAGAGAACAAAAATCAACCTTTGAGCACACGGGCTTCACAAAGGAGGGTCGAACAGGAAGGCCGTAAACTTTGATTTGAGAGGTTCAAAGTCCGGCTTTAAGTGCCCTTTTCGCCAGTTATGTGGATGGGCAATAACATCTTGTCACAAGCTTATGAAACCTAATTCAAAAGCAAAGAAAAGAGAAGCATCAGAACTCTTTTACACCGCCATGGAACTGTTTTTCAGTACTGAGCTGAGGACTAATACCGTTGAGAAGCATCAACACTGAGATATGACTAACCACGTGGGATGGCAAGTGCTCAAGTCTGTAACAACTGTGGTGAAGACGATTTTCTTCAGTAATCCCTTTGATTTTAGGACGCGAAGTGGGACATATTGCATCAACGGATGAACACTGATTATAATGTCCGTCTGGTATTTCATCAATCCTTTCTTAATTTCCCTGCAAGTAAAATCAACAGAAAGTTACAGATGAGAAGAGCAAAAGCCATCAGAAGCTAAAGGCTATACAATCAAGACAAAAACATAAAGCTAAATCTCCTCTTTCCCAGTCTCTTAGGTAGATACTGCAGCAATGTAACCAATTTGGACCAATCAACCAAAAGACCTCTAACATCTCACCTGGCAATAAACGTGGAAGTTGCAGCAAAATTAGATTGGTGAACAACACGTGGAGCCGTACCATAATATGTCATTTTCCACAGTGTTCCATGTTTCACCAGAAAGTTATAGCTCCTCGGCAACTGGTTGAACGGCCAAGGCGTGTGATCTGTCCATAAATATGTAATAGATACCTGAGACAAGCACTCTTACAATGTACATAACACAGCCAACAAAGATTCCATCAAGCAATGTAACAAACTCATAAATTTTTTTCTATAGTCCAAGAAAAAATGCAGAGTAACTACTAATGCACAAGCTCTTACAAGCCATATTACTAAAATGTTTCAAGAGAAATTTGTACATCCCAAGAATCTAGTCTAACAAATCAGAAGAAGAAGAACATTTTCTATCATCAAACAGAGATAATCAATGTTAAATTGCAATCTCAAAGCAAAAATTGAAATCTCCATCATCAATTTTGGTTCAAGATAAGATTTGAAACAAACCTGATACTCATCTCCAAATTCCAAATTGAATGCAGCTTTAATGGCTTCCGCTGAAGCTCTGTGACCACCACCAGTATCACTCATCAAAATCAAAACTTTCTTGGGCCGATCAGATTCAACAACGATTAACGACAAGCCTTCGGCACCCAAAACCTCACCGGAGCCATATCCTCCAAACCCGTTTTCCTCGCTTGACAACCCGATTCTGATGGATGTGAAGCTGTACAGAACAACCCGGTCGAAGTGAAACCAAATAAATCTGTTGAAATCACTGATAAACCTGCGTAGATTCGTGCCGGCAGCATTTTTAGTGTTTAAGCTCATGGAGATTAGGGATCTTCTGGTGTTTCCGGCGGGTAAGTTCCGGAAGCCATTGAAATGCAATGAATCCGAGGTCGAGTGAACAAAACCATCCGAATTTAAGAGCGGCGATCGATGACTTAATGTAAATTTGCTAAACTTGGTGATGAAATCGAAGATCGGTGCAGATTCCTGGGTTACCGTTGAAGGTTTTGCATATTTGATTGAAGTAGAGACGAGAAAGTAGCAGATTGATTCAAATTAAGGAAGGTTGATTCGCCATGAATGCTCACAGAGAGACACTTTATTAAATTGTTGAATTACATTTTTTTTAAAGGCTTTGTAGCACTATCTACCGAAATTTTAATTCTTCTATAGCAACTTTTTCAAAATTTGCGGATTTGGCACTTTTGTATTATTTGGTCGTGCTCTTCAACTGAATCCAGGTGGCTGAGTGCAACTGATTTACCAAACAAATCTCATAATGCGAGAAATCTTATTGGTCCGACCAAAGCAAAAACAAGGAAAGGCATGTGTGGGGATCTCCAGTAAGTTGGATGGACAATGTGAATATAGAAATTCACACTTATAAATTTATGTATTTTTGTAAAAAGAAAGATTTTAAAAGAATTAAGGGTTAGATTCTCTTGAACATATTGAAAGTATAAGTAAATATTAATCAAATAACGACTTAATATTAATCAGATGAATAAAATGGTTACAAAATTTCTCTCAAAGTAAAAAAGTGAAAAGAGCTTGAAGAGCGATTACAGAGTTTTCGAGTACCAGAAAATGTAAAAGATCAGATGTCTCTAAACTAAGCAGCTTGCCTCCTTTATATAGTTCCTCTCGTCGAGCTATAACCTCTAGCGCGTATCTCGGCCAAGTACAGTAGCATATCTCGGAAATCTCGAGCTTGTTTGAACTGGTGGGAATATGCTCTGACTTGGTATGGATCCTTTCTTGTTTCTCTGGATTTTGGTGGAGCTGCAGCTTGACCTCGTCAAATGGAATGCTTGATGTTCAGGCTTGGACCATTGCAAAGGATTGAGCCTGGACCGTGTGGATGAGGCCCAGAAAATTTATGTTTAGTTTGGACTTGCTTGTTGGGCTTAAGTAGACCGGATTTATTGTGCGAAATCCAGCTCCAACAATTGCCCCCCAACCCATTAACGAGAATGAGTTCGAGCATTAATAGGCGGCGAGATGTTATTTTTGAAAGATTTTGTCTCTAGTGCACTGACGTCATGATGTCAGGGGATCATTTAAAATCTATGGCTTAGACTTAGAAATATGAAAAGTCCAGCTGATTGTACGGTCAAAGATCGACCATAAGGATCACAGCTCGCACGACGAGATCTCGCGGTTGTTATCTTTTAGAGATGGACAGCTGAGATTCAAAGTGAATATACTTATTTACTTCAATTTCGGCGATCGAACTTCCCGGACAAATGCAGTTCCCTAGAAGATTTGCATGGATGTCTTTCAACGTGGATGGTTCGGATTAAAAAAAAAAAAGTGATCTGATGGCCCTGGTTAATCGGGCTCTGCAACACATCAAATCTGTAAAGTCGAATATTCGACGGTTGAGATTTTGGAATCGAACAGTGGAGATTGATGTGGAGTGGGATTTTTTTACGATCTTCGAGGTGAGAAAATATTATAACGTTATAAAGTCCAACTTCTCCACTACTTCTTTAACCACATATGTTCGATGATTAAATGTAGTTTTCTCTCTTTTTCTCTTTTATTTTCTGCAATTTTTTGTTCGTCATGTTTTTTTTTTTAAATCGAGAAAGAGAGGTTTGTGTGATCGGAAATCTTTTTGGATTTTGCCCGGCTGCTTGCTTCATATGTTTATGAGCAAGGATTTCTACGAATCGCCTTAGATTTCTCGCGTGTTTTTCTTGTTTTCTGGGTTCGAAATCTTTATCTCCTCGCTTCCCTGATATTTTTCTTCTGATGTCAGAAGCCGTAAAAATTGACGGGGCGCGAAGGACTCTGGAGCCCCGGGTCCGTTAAAAATAAACGAACAGAAGGTCCAAGACGACCTTTGTCGAGAATGCGAGATTCCAGACGGTGTAGAGTTGGCGATTATGGCACCAACGGAGACTCCGACGAACATCGAGCCGGGTTTTTGCTACGCATATGAGATGTACTTCCGAGACTGTGGGTTGTTCTTCCCGATCCCACATTTTGTTCCTGAAGTGATTACCGACCTGCAGATGGCTTTCCTGTAGATGTGCCCAAATCTGGTTTGGCCCATCGTGGGATGTGCCGTGCGAGCTCGGGAAGAAGCCGTCATCTTGCCTTCTACGTGTAATCCCCATCCACCATCTTCATTCTGAAAAGCAAACATTAAACACACAGTTAAAAAATCAAATCAGTGTTTTATGATCCTTACATAAACAAATCAGTGTTGTACCTGGTGACAATAGATTAATCGAAGCATTTCTTTACGATGCTCTCCGGTAAACATCTCCTCAAGATGTCCTGTGATATAGAAACAGAACACCTGCAACAAAAAAACAAATTTAACACTACTGGAGTCGATCAAATTAAGGAAAAACAGAGAAGGAGAGAGAGAGAGAGAGAAAGAGAGAGAGAGAGAATAAAACTTACTATCAAGGAATGTAGAAGAGTGGACCGGTGATTTCAGCTGGCCAATGACCCTCACTGCTTTGCAACGCCGAGAGATAGTTAACGGATATTCGTAATGCATTGGTCGCTGCTTGGTTCATGATTTTCTCATCATCGTCGATCACCGGCGGGATTACTTGCTCGAATTTCTTCTCCTTGAGACTTATGTAAAACCATTTATAGGGAGTACAATAATAATAATAGCAATTTTTGAATTTTGGTACCTTGAGTTTCACAAGATATATAGTATATATTAATAACAGATTAAAACTATTCTTCAAGTTATTTTTAAACTTCATTATATAAATTTCCACCAAAGAAAAAGAAAAGAATAATTTATTTTAAATTTTGCTTTGTAAAAATAAGGAAGACCGTAAAATTCTGTTTTTCTGCCAACACCGTAAAATTACGAGAAAACCTTAAAATTATGTTTTCCCGCCAAAACCATAAAATCAAGAAAAAATTGTAAACTTTTATTTTTCCGCCAAAACCGTAAAATTCTGTTTTCCCACCAAAATGTAAAATTACGGGAAAACCGTAAAACCGTAAGATTTTGTTTCTTCGCTAAAACCATAAAATTATGGGAAAACAGTATAACCATAAAATTACGTTTTCCCATTAATACAGTAAAATCATGAAGAAACCGTAAAATTCCATTTTCCCACCAAAACCGTAAAATTCCAGTTACCCGCCAAAACCATAAAATTACGAGAAAACTGTAAAAAAAAATTCCCGCCAAAACCTTAGAATTCTGTTTTCCTGCTAAAACCGTAAAATTATGGGAAAACCGTAAAATTATGTTTTTCCACTAAAACAGTAAATCACGAGAAAACCGTAAAATTCTATTTTTCTGCCAAAATCGTAAAATTTTGTTTTCCCGCCAAGACTGTATAATTACGTTTTCTTGCCAAAACCATAAAATCACGAGAAAACTGTAAAATTTTGTTTCTTCGCCAAAACTGAAAAATTCTATTTTCCTGTCAAAACCGTAAAATTACGAGAAAACCATAAAACCGTAAAGTTTCGTTTTCTTCCCAAAACCGTAAAATTATGGGAAAACTGAAAAACTGTAAAACAGTAAAATTATGTTTTCCTTCAAAACTATAAAATTCTGTTTCCCGCCAAAACCGTAAAATTTTGAAGATTAATTATTTGTTTTTTAAAAAAAATATTAAAAATTTGTTTCTATATTTTTTTAATCTTTTTATTGTTAAGTTCATCCATATGCAAATACAGATACACAAACGAACATGAATGTATCAAGTTACAATATTTAGATACACTAATCGAAAACACAAACCAACAACATTTGGATGCTGCGTCCAAACATGATATCTGAATGTTATATCCAGACGCTGTGTCTAGATGAAGAAACGAACAGGACCTTAATTGCTTCTTGCTAGTTTATGGTTAGTACTTCATATTAGAAATTGACCCTTGTCTTGAATGAATGAATGTTATTTTGTTACTTTGTTTTGTTTGTATGATACATCAGAAGTCTGTTTTATACATTTTCGGCTATTATTTCATTTTCCGATTTTTATTTGCGATCTCTTCAATTGAATGAGAAACAAGTAATATGTGCTTCTCTCTGTACTATTATGAGTCACACATGACTATTTCAAGCATAGTTACTCTATTTTATTTGTATGATACAACAAAGTCTGTTTTACCCATTTTTGGTTATTAGATCAGTTTTAGATCTTAAATTGGGAATTTTTTTGCAATGAGAAATAAGTAATATAAACTTCTACATGTAATTTTATGAGTCGTGCATGACTATTTCAAGTCTTGTTACTCCATTTTGTTTGTATGAGACACCAGAATTCTATTTTCCCTATTTTCAACCATTATATAAGTTTCATGTCTTCATTTGAGATCTCCTCTATGGAATGAGTAACAAATAATACATGATTTTCATTGTACTAGTATAAGTACCACATGACTATTTCAAATATAGTTACTCTATTTTGTTTGTATGATACATCAGAAGTTTCTTTTACCCATTTTTGGCCATTATATCAGTTTCCAATCTTCATTTGGAATCTCTTCTACGAATGAGAAACAAGTAATAGACGCATCTCATTGTACATTTATGAATCCCCAAAGAATATTTCAAGCCTAGTTACTCCATTTTATTGGTATAATACATCTGAAGTCTGTTTTTGCCATTGCAGCCATTATATCAGTTTCAAATCTTTATTTGAGATCTTTTCTATGGAATGAAAAACTAGTAACATACGCTTTTTTCAAGTTTAATTGCTCCATTTTGTTTGTATGATACATGAGAAGTTTGTTTTTCCCATTTTTGGCCTTTATTTTACTTTTAAAAATTTATTTGAAATCTCTTCTATGGAATGAGAAATAAGTAACATACTGATGAGGACATAGACCAACTGATCGTACCGGGTCGAGGGAACGATGAGCAATCATCCGTACCGGGTCGAGAAAGTGACAGGAGCAACGACCAGCTGTTCGTACCGGGACAAGAGGAGCTGGGACAGTACGCCATACCACCAGTGACCGGCTCACCCACGACACGTTCCAAGACCAGGAGGTTGAGAGAAGGATTTAATGAGGCCATACAATCTCTTTTGACCAACATGAACGTGGAGAACATACTTAACCCCCAACCAATCCCCGTTGCATCCGAAATAGACATCGCCGAGGGGTTCGCCAAGATGAGCCTCAAAG